AAGAGGGATTATAGGCAGGTGGTCCTGGCAGGTTTTAGCAAGACCTTAAAAATCAAACTTCTCTCTGCTCTAGGGAAGCATTTATAAAATAGGAAACTCTCAGACCTGAATGACAATCATTGCAGCTTACACTCTCTCCTGTCTGTGCTCACCTAGTGCCTAGAGCGGGGCATTTAACCCCAGAATGGCCCCTATAAAACAGAGACTAATTCTTATCAATCCCAGCATGCCCCTAACTCTGCAGGAGGCTGTGGTGACACTTTAGGTGAGAAGTCCTACTGTCTCCACCCTTTCCTTCAGCCCCAAAGGCTGAGCCTCTCTGAAAAATTTATTGTTTGGGGCAAAAAACACACATTCCATTACTTGGTGCTCTTAATCTATTCTTGGTATACCTTCCCTTTCTCACACAACTGCAATCTACTCTCCCTCTCCCTCCAAAGGCAATGCATTGGTGCTAAGACACATCTCACACCCCACACCTTATCTCCTACATCAGCTCAACGATTGGCCCTCAAGGTGTGGTTCCCACTGGCCAATGTGGTACACGTGGGCAGAGAACTTCTCTGCTAACGCCAAGGCTGGACTTGTGCCTCTCTTTAGCCTTATGGAGGAAATCACTAAGGAAGCCTAGTGTTTGAAGGAACAATGGACTAAGGAGATAGGAACCCAGGTTCTTTGTGCTGGCTTGGCCATTATTAAAACTCTGTGGAATTTAGGACAAATTGCTTTACTTCTCTACACTTCAGTTCTGGCATTGTATGAAGTGTTGTATCCTTGCTGAGCCTAAATGCTGATGCAAATTTGGGCAGTATATTAGTTTCCTAGGGCTTCCAAAACAAAGTACCACAAACTGGGTGACCTAAAGCAACAGAAATTTATTGTCTCACAGTTCTGGAGACTAGAAGCCCAAAACCAAGGTGTCAGTAGGGCCATGCTCCCTCTTAATGCTCTAGGGAAGGATCACTTTCCTGCCTCCCTCCTAGCTTGTGGTGGCTGTAGGAAATCCTTAGCATTTCTTGGCTCGTAGAAGCATCACTCTAATGTCTGCCTCTGTCTTCACATGGCCTTCTCCTTATGCTTTCTGTGTCTCTGTATCTTCACACGGCACTCTCCTCTGGTATATCTCTGTATCTGAATTTCCTTCTTTGTATAAGAACATCAGTTATTAGAATAGGGCCTACCCTAATCCAAGAAGACCTCATCTTACCTTGATTATATCTGCAATAACCCTATTTTCAAATAAGTCATATTCACATATACTGGGTGTTAGGATTGAACCTATCTTTTTGGAGGACACAATTCAACCCACAACAGGTGGTGTCTAGTGAATGATGGACTAGGGTGTATTTGCAGGAGCTGACTTGTGCAATAGGGGAATAGGGACCAATGAAGAAAAAGTTTGGCATAAAAGCATCTTGGGCAAATGGAGGGATTGGAATGTTATGAGTTTCCCAGCTAAGTTCCATGGACCAATTTTGAGTTGTGTGGAAAATAAAGACTGAAATAAGAAAGCGCAGCTTTCAACCAAGTGTTTTGTGAAAATTTGGCTCAAGTGACAAAAATTGCAACACAGAATCAGGAAAAGGAGCATTCTCTGAATTGCTGTAGAGAATATATGGCCGAGAACAAAGGGGACAAAGCATTTAGTAAGCATCTATTAAGTTTGACCTCAACATTGATTCTATTTCTTATAGTATCAGCACCTCATATTTACTTGAGGGAGCCGCCCCTCTCCCACACTCAGTCTGTGAGGCTTGGATGGAGCTGTCCCTTCAGTGGGGTCACATGCCTAGGACCTGGCCACTTCAACCCCACATGCCTCAATCAGAGCAATTGGGTCAGAGATGAGCACATGACACAAAGCAGCCAATGAGATTCTTCTTGGAATAATTAAGGAAGATATTTATTTCTATCTTATTTACTATCTAAAATGAAACTTAGTTTTTTTTTGTGGTGAGAATTTTTAAGATGCACTCTCTTAGCAATTTTTAAGTATACTACACAGTATTGTTAACTGTAATCACCATGCTGTACTTGAGATCCTCAGATCTTATTCATCTTAGAGCTGGAAGTTCGTATCTTTTAATAAACATCTCCCCATTTTCCCCACCCTCCAGCCCCTGGCAACCATCCTTCTAATCTCTGTTACCATGAGTTCAGGTTTTTTAGAATCCACATATAAGTGAGATCATACAGTATTTGTCTTTGTCTGAGATTTCACTTTGTATAATGTCCTCAAGGTCCATCCATGTTGTCACAAATGGCAGGATTTCCTTTTCTATGGCTGAATAATATTCAGCCACATAATAATAAAGAAAGAATATATCTTTTTTTCTTTATCCATTTATCCACTGACGGACACTTAGGTTGTTTCCATATCTTGACCGTTGTGAATAACACTGCAATTAATACAGGGGTACAGAGAGAGAGTAGATCTTAAAATTTCTCACCACAAAAAAAAAGGTAACTATGTGAGGCAATGGATGTGTCAACTAACCTTACTGTGGTAATCATTTCTCTTATATATATGTATATCAAATATCACACTGTACACCTTAAAATTAAATAATATTGTATGTCAATTATATCTCAATAAAGCTGGAAAATATTGACCATAAAAAAATAAGATATATCCTTTATAAGACACTGTCTTGATTTTATTACAATGCTTTGGAATAAATAGTACCTCTACATAAAATGTACTTATTGATTTTGTGACACAATTAGATCTAGAAACCTAGAACATGTGAAAAGAATACATCTAAGAATCAAGGAAATAGAAAATTTTTAGCTTCATTCTCCAATCTGCAATTTGCTGACCATGTTGACATTAACCTACCTCTGAAAGCTTAGATGAAATTGAAAGAGTCACAATCTGCCCTACTGAAATCATAAATACAGTTTTATGTACTCGAGCTTAGATTATTAGGATGAGATTAGGGGTATCTAATATTTTGTTTTGTTTTGTTTTGTTTTAAATCAAACGTCAATTGGATAAAATAATGTTTGAATGTTATATTTCCTCCAAGGAAACAGAAAACGATTAATTATATCGCTGAATTCATTTAGAACAACATCTGATACTAGAATTTTTGTTAACAAACTTATAGTTACAGAAATTTGTTGTTGCCTTGTTATCTATCACCTAAGGACGTGAATAATCACCAAAAGGCATATGTTAATGCGGACTAAATCTACCAACAAGAAGGATACACAAAAATTTAACAATTTAAAAAAAAAAGAAAGTAGCAGTAGCATAAAAGTAGAGATGCCACAGAGAGGGCCTGCCCTAAACTGAATCTAATACAGAGAAAAGGAGAACTAAGAGATGGAGAAATAGAAGATTGTGACTGGAAAGAGAAAAGACTAGAAGATTGTAGAAACAGAAGATTGTAAATAGAAAGAGAATGAATGGGGGAGACTGAGACCTGTTGACCTGGTTGATATTCTTCGATGCAACCCTACCTTCCCTTCTATTTTTAGCTAGATGAGCTAATACATTCCCTTCTTTCAGCTTAAGCCAGTTTAAATTGGGTTTCTCTCACTTATAACCAAAAGCATCCCAAATAATACAAGGCCTACTTGGCCTGGCACGCATTCTACCGCTCTGAAAGCAAAGGAATTCAATGCTCAACGCAGCAAAGTTGTGCCAGCATGGACAGCCATGGACACAGTAGCCAGGGGAGCCTAAGTGCGACCTCAAATGATTTGCTGGACAGCAACCTTAAAAGAGAGAGGCACAGGTCTAACACAAGAGGGCTTGTTCTAATAACATGTAAGTCACTCTGGGGAGTCTCACATGCAATTACAAGAGACTTACAGGGTCCAATTATACACATGTGGCCCACAAGACCACAAATTGTGGGTATTAGTATTAATGGGGAATTATTTGTATCCATAAGCTGGAGAGGCTTGGGGAATAATCTGGTTACATATCTAATAAATGAGTAGCACGAGCTTCCCACCCCCCTTACTCTCCCACCCCACCCCCTGCTCCAGGTTCCAGTGAGAGCCAGATTTCAATTGTTTGATTAAAAAAACTAAAGTTAGCTTCTTCCTGCCCTAGATTCAACAGTCATCCTCCTCTTCTGCATTAGAGCAAAAGAGTGAGAATAAAGAGAAAAGCCCAGGGATGTGGATATGTGAACCTGGGCATGCACATGTGTGCATGTATGCATTCTGGGGATTCTGAAATGTGAATTTTCAAATGGATACAAAATTAAGCTGAGAGCATCAGCTTTGTAGCATCAAGCGCTGGGCCATGTATTCTTTCTTTGCATGTGATAACTAGGATTACTCTTAGGAAACACAACCTAACTTCTAGAATGTCCTTAGATCTCATTTCTCTCAGTCAAGAGAATATTTCTTTTCAGTATTGCCATTTAAGGGAATACAATATCAATACGAACTGAAGGGTCAATGAAAACGAAGTTAAGATGTCACCAAAAATGAACTTTTGAAGATGGAGATGTGTCTATAGCAGCCAACTAAAGAAAACAAGAATCCAGAGGCCCACAAAACTCAACAAGCACATAAAGTTTGAAGATTTCACTTTAAGCCTGAGGACAATATCAAAAAGTAAACAACATACATAAATGCCCTTGTAAAAATCTGAAATATAACATCAAATTCAGCAGGTGGAAATCTGAAAATAAATAAAGACATATGCAAAACAGTTGTTTCCTGACGTGATTACAGAAATCATGTCTAATTTCCTCAGTATAACCATTAAATATATAAAACATTAAGTTCTGCTGTTTTTCAGTAATACTCACTTCACCAGCTATGAGACTAATGGGAAGGCAATCAAGGTCGGATTCTGTGCTCCACAGAAATGTCCCCAATGGCCACCCTAATAATTAAATGCTATCAGGCTTGAGCTGGTTATCTAAATTTTACAAACAAATATTGTCTTAAGCAGACTTAATCGGCTACTTAGCTACCAGAATAAATGTGTGTATCCTGGAAGTAAATGAAGCACACGCAAACAAGGCACTCACCTTTTCTTCCCTGAGGATCGCGGCAATTCTCATGGACACACAGGCCCCAGGCTGACCAGGAAGACACTATACAGTCTGTAGAGCAAGGGACATTGCAGAGCTGAGAGGCTGAAGGGGCAGGTCCCAAACATAATGTCTTTTCCACAGGTCTAGAGACTGAAGGACAAAAAAATAAGGGCCCACGTCACATTCTCTGGACATCCCCAGAATTGTTCCTCTGTCTATTTGTGTGCCTCCCTTGCCCACTTCAGCTTTATGGTTCAAAAGAGTATATGCAAACAAAACATCAACACTGTCCAATACCCGTTGCTTAGCTCCACAGTATTAGCATTGTGGGTGAGGAAAGGCAAAAAAAGACAGCGACAAAGGGCATGCACTTGAGTTTGCTGCTTCACAGAGTATTCCCCGGGAATTCAAGAGAGGACTGGAAATACAGATACAAATTACCTAGAGTTATGATTTAAAAAAAATTAAATGGCTTTGTGAAGTTTCAAGATGAGTCTATCTTGACTATATAAATGACTGGGCTGCTATGGAAAAATCAAAACCGAACCCCTGAGGTGAGGTGATTAGCACAACCAATCTACTGCTGTTACTCCCCTGAGGGGTGGAGCTTGTGAAGATGCAGAAGAATAATGGTTCCTAGACTGAGAAGAAAAATCAAGATCTGTGACTGCAGAATTATCCCATGGAAGTCAGTTTCATTAGTAAGGCTACCCAAAAAGCACAAGGAGTGTCTGAGGTGCCACGGGGAATGCCAAACTAGGAGCCTTCCAGCTCTTTCTGTACACCTGCACCCACAACTGGGTCACTTCAGGATGCAGAGACCATCTGTCCATCAGTGACATTCACCAAGTACCTTCTCTAAGCAGACCCACTCTGAGCACCATGAAAATACAAAGATGAAGGAGAAGACAACATCCTGATCCTCATGGAGTTGATAACATAACAGCACCTGGGATAGCAATAACTGAAAATGACACAATAAAAGAACAGCTAAATGCATAACTTGCAGAGGGTGACCTCAGGCTAAGAAGATTTTGGAGCAATTCAGAGTTTGTGAGCAAATGGCTTAAGTTCAGACAGTTTTATCTTATGGACTGGCTTATACTATTGTCTAAATATTTCCTCTATGTCATTTCCATCCAGTTAAGCAGATTACAAATGCTTCAAAAGCAGAGACTGGCGTGAGAGGATTGGGTGATGAACCACACCATCTACTTCGCTTCCTCACTCTTTACATAAGATGTGAGTTAAAGCCTGTAAAGTTGGCAATACGTCGCTGCTCTGACCAGCACAACTTTGAACCTAAATCAAAACAATAGGCAAAAAAAAATACTGTCATGAAGAAGTTGTAACCCCTGGGGGAAAAAGTGTTTCTAATGACCAATGGGACAGCTTGAGGTGATTATGAGCGCGAATGAGAAAATAAAAATGTTTTTTTTGCAACTAATTATTTTACGGTTTACCAAGAAGATTTGCCCTGACTTAAAATAAAAGGCAGGGACAAAGCATGACTGTCAATGTAAATGTCAAAGATAGCAAGCCAAGTGGAGGAGACAGGGAAAGGAAGAGAGAGCAGATATTGGGGGAAGGTAAAGGGTTACCTGAGCAGAGGTGGTGATCAAACAGAGATTGTGCTGGCAATGACAACAGTAGGATGGGGAAGTTGGAGTGACCAGGACTGGGGATGTATCCATGAGACTGATAAACTGGGGGTAGAGAAGAACTCCTAGGGAAGGAGTGAGCAAGAGAAAATGCACGACACAGCCATTCCCTGAGTACATCATGCATTCATTCCACAACCACTGAGTACCCACTCTAAATCAGGCCCTCTGGGGTGGTGTCTGCTTTCAAAGAGCTCTCAGTTGAGAAGTGTAAGTCAAGTAGCATATTAACAAAATTGATGGAAAGAGATGCTTCAGAGCATTGTGTAAGTAGAAAGCTGCATAGCCAGAGATCTTAAGGTAGAAATGTGTTTGGGTCCAGGCCCATGCTTGTTACCATGTGTTCTCAAAAATTCAAACTTTAGGTAAAAAAACAAAACCTCAGTAATGATGTAAAAGGAAGTAGGGCATATAAACTGATTAATCTAGTTATTTAATAAACAGTTCTAGTTCATGCCAGGCACTGGTTACAAACATCAATTTATTTAACTTGCATAACTTTGAGATATATATTAATATTATTCTTAGTTTAAAATGGGGAAACTGAGGCACAGAAAAGATTACTCACTTGCCCACATTCCCAATTAGTGAGCAGCAGAGCCGGGATTGGGATCCAGGTGGTCTGGCTCCAGAGTCTGTCTCTCAACCACTGCATTATGTGGCCTCGTCATCAGTCATTCAACCTACATTAATAAGCACCTACCATGTGTTAACACTGTGTTAGGTGCTTAAGCCAGAAGAGTGGGTAAAACAGACAAGGGCCCTGCCCTCATGGAGCCCATATTCCAGTGTGAGTTGATACTAATTGTATATGAGTCTATGAGCCCCAATAACAAGACTAGAAAACCCTTAATTCTGCTTCTTTTTCCTTTGTCATGACTGTTCCCCTGAAGCACCAGACAGACCTTAAGTGTCTGACGATCCATGTTGAGAAGACGCCACACACGTCTCAGCTCCAAGACCCAGTAGACACTTGCTGCCACAACCTCTGTACTTCAGGCTGGGCCCTGCACTTGAAACTAGTCAATCCATCAGGACAGCACCCAGGCACACAGTAGGCCTGCACAAAATTTCATTAGAATCTCCAGAATGGCTGTGCAGGAAAGGCTCCAGGTTGGTGGTAGGGTTGTAAAGAGACGCGAGAACTTGTCCTGAAGCTGCATTTGTCAAGGACACTGTTTTTACACAAATATTATGTTTATTTGGCTTATTTTTGGAGGTCTGTTGAGGATTATTGGGAGGTGTGAGGTTAAGTCCCCTTAGGTCCCCGTTGACAAATACTTAACTGTCAATTGGTTGACTGGTGGACATTAGGGCTAATGGTACTCCTAAGATCTGGAAGTAGGGAGGGATGTGGTGTGCTGGAGAACAGGAAGGGATTTCCCTGGGGACTACTAAGTGACATAACTGGAGGCCCAGGGGCGGGAGTGAAGCCATTTGTCACAGCACTCATGCCTCTTCAGCACCTGCTGCTTTGACAGACAGTAGATCTTAATCCATATCAATAAATTCTTCCAGTCCCAGGTGACATGTCTAAGATGCTTCATTTAGGCATTGAATCAATGTGCTTGGGTCAACCTATCTCTATCTCAGACCCCCTGGGCTACATTTGCTCCAGAAATAAATCATGAGTAAGTCACAAAGCACTTACCAGCTTCAGACCACTTAGATAGTCATCTCCTGCAAAATAGTGAACACAGGATATTTCTACGCCTATTGACTGTTAGAGCTAGAAGGGGGCTTTAGAGCTAAGTTAATCTAATTCATCAATTTTACTGAAGAACTGAGCTCCAAAGACCTTAGGTAGTTTCTCCATGTTCACTCTGCAAGTCTAAGGCAGAGAAAGATCTGAGACTTGTCCCAGGTGGCTTACTCCCCTCCACCTGTCCCTCTTGGTTTTCCTTTCACGGAATGAAGACATAAGAAAGGACAGATGAGGTTGTCTCTACCAAGGACATTTTGTTTACGAACCATAGCGACCACAACGAAGGCAGCCAGTGACATGACAGGTCCAAGGTATCCATGAAGGCTGTAGGCTCAATTTAACCCTTTAAATAAAGTCCAAATCCTTCCCTCTTTCATTGATACTTCAAAACTCCTCCAAACCCCTTTCCAGGCCTCCCTTCCCAGGTAGGAGGTAGTAAGACCGAAATTTACTCTACTTCAAACAGCTATTTACTTCTTTCATTTGTGGCTATTCATGTTGTAATAAAACTATCTTGGAGGTGGGTGAGGTGGGGGGCATGACCCGGGCCGCCTGGAATTGGATGGTCTGTGCAGTTTACTCTTTATGGAACCCTCATTTCTTCTTGGCCAAACTCCACCCGTGATGTTTGTAGAAAGAACTGCTGCTTTTCTTCTCACCTGCACTCCTTTCTCTGGATCTATGGACTGAAACCTCTTTATTTCTGTTTCCTAACTCTGAGACTTCTCTTATGCAATGAATCCCCACTGTAATCAGCGACGTATGCAGTGCAGGGCTGTGCTTGGCCCACTTACTCCAGCTGTCTTTTAGACCATGTCATCTTGAAGTCTTCTGCCATTCCTATGTTGACTCATTCCCTGGCCTAGATAGATACACAATTATCCAAGGTCTTATAGGCTATTCAGCAGCAATGTTGTAAGCAGCAATGTTAGGCAGCAATGTGAGTTCCTATAGAGACTTCTCATGGTCACAAAGCGTTAAACAGCCAAATAATTTATAACTTGGATAAATTGAGATCGCTACATACCAGTAGCTTTCTAAATGCTAGAGAACATATTACAGTATTCTAAATGATTGTACATATGAAATAGTCATTAACACTGGATATTTTGGTGCCTAACCTGGAATTTTTCATTTGCAATAAGAAATTATTAAATTGACCTGCTTTACAAGAAATGTGGAAGTCTGCTACTAATGATTGCAAAGTTGCCTTAAATAATGAACTACTCCATGAACAGAATGTTAATTAACAAGGGGAAAAATATGCTGGGTAGGTAATATGTTTAATGTCAAAAAAAACTGTTCTTAATTTTAGAAATGTACAGTGTTCACGATTTCCCTTAATGACAAGGTGATTTCAGATGAGCATACAAATTCAATCAAAATGAATTGTAATTAAGAAGAAAAATGCCTGTTGTGATCATTAGCATGTGACTACCATTGTAAAAAAAAATGAGTACCTTCACATTTTATTCTTTGAAACTAAATCAAGCTCTAATCCAAACTAATTTGAATTAACACAGAAATAAGTTGGCAAAGATCCAATAAAATTATATTCTCCCCCCACCTCTACTGATGGCCATTTTGTAAGACCTAAATTTCAATTCCTTTTAAGGTCTCGAAAAGAAATGAACTGAAATTGCATAATAATAATGTTCAATCAATTATAATTAATAACCAGGCATTCTTCTCTAGTTTTGTTAAAAAATGAGTTATATTTGCTTAAAGTAAAAAGAGTTATCACAGGAGTCAATGGAATTTTCTTATTTTTTAATATATCTGTT